GGAAAGATGAGGGGCGCCGGAAGGGGGGGGGGGGGGGGGGGCTGGGGGACACGGAAACCCGTGATCGTTATTCGGCCCAGTGCTTCATTTTGTTGGGCTTGGGCCAGGAATGTTGCTTTCGGTGCATCCCGAGTAAACCAGCTTGATCTGATGTTGCCTTGAGCAGCAGCGGTGCACGTACTGATGTGCATCTTCTCCTTCATGGAGTCCAGGTCCTCTTTGAGGGCGATCTGCATCCAGATGAGTCCGGCGCAGGCCATGACACACGCCGCCAGAAGCACGAACACACACAGCGGGTAACAGAGTGAGCAGCACCGCAGCGAGCTCCTGCAGAACACACACAAACACCATCAGATCTCTGAAGCTCGACCGTCTCAGCGCTGAAGACCATCATCCTGCTCGCTCGCTCTCTCTCTCGCTCTGCTGCACATGGCTGTCATCGCACTGCAAGGATCTGATCTTCTATGCAGATGTTTGGAGTTTATTACTAGCGAGGCATTTCAACTCAAATCATTATTTTGTGTCCGGTTATCTGTGTATGTGTCCTGATCACCCGGTCCTGCTTTAGCTCTCGATAGCATGCAGCCAGCCGGACAGCATGACCTGTTTCAGCGCTCAGAGACGCTTCTGTGCCAGCTTCCCTCTACTGTGTGTTACAGACCTTTCTTTCTCTTCTTAAACGTAAAGCAACAAATCTAGCAGAAGAAACCGTGATCTTCGTCTTCTCGATCGCACAGACAGCTCATTCCTCACACTTTAATAGCATTTATAGCTGCAATAATAATAAAACAGGCCATGTGAGGAACGATTAACTCCGAGTGTAGATCAGTATGAAGCTAAATTAAACGCACTAGTGCATCTACACCTGAAGTTACCAACCTGTGAAGGAGTCCTTCCCTGATGTGTCTATTCCTGAAGACACGATAATAACCGAACCGATCTGAGGAGCTTCATCTTGGCTCGTCTGGATGGAAGCAATTTCTGACCATTTTAAATACATCAATTCAATTATAAAAATTAAAACCAGATTGATTAACAATGTCAAAAACTATTTTTCATAATTGAATTGATTTATTTAAAACTGGCAGAAAATACTTTCCGTACTTCTGATAGTTTGTATCTCCCAGTTTGTGTTCAGTAAAACTTTAGATGAGGGAACACTATTCACCAAGAGTTTTCCTCCACTAACTGCTGATTACTGCTCGCTGACCGTCAGTACACTTGTAGGGTCAGGTTAGGTATGGGTCGTGTTCAGCAATCTAAAATAAGATCATGCAGAATAAGACGATAACGTGTGCATACGTACTAACAAACAGCCTATACGCTAGTAATATGCATACTGATCAGCAAATAGCTCAGAGAGTGGTGTTCCCTCATCTAAAGCGTAACTGTGTGGTTTATGATGTTGCTCGTGAGAAAATCCTCAAGATCTTCTGCACATTAGCGCTCTTCAGACTGTACTGAGAGCCAGCTTTCACGACGATCACAAACACTGCTAACGTTCAGTGCTGACCCAGAAGCAGCAGGGAATGAATCGAGTCGGTTCAGATATCACGGAGGAATAGACGGAGCTTGTGTTTCTCTGCGAGGCAAACTCACTGGGAATGTGATCTCTACAGAACAGATCAGAAATGAAATTCATAAAACCACAGGTTTCACCTCCACATCATCTGGACACTTGTGCACATCATAAAAGCAGTTTCTCTTTCTTTTGAACAAGTTGCGATTGCTTTGCTACAGTCATGATTGCTACATGATCCGCTGCTAATGTCATGCTGCTCAATGTATTAATGATAAAGTTCTCTGTTCTCTTAGCTCTCAAAACACCCAGTCTTTAGTTCATCGTATCAGCAATTAAACACAAAATGCGCTGTGATGTGTGCTTTCTGTTATTTTGTCACTGCTACACTGACACGGCACTGCTACACTGACGGGGCACTGCTACACTGACGGTACACTGACGGGGCACTGCTACACTGACACAGCACTGCTACACTGACAGCACGAGGAGCCTCTCTGGTCTCGTTAGTAAACAATGATACGAGGACCGTGCATGCGGATGGCACTGATGTGTTCATTGATATAAACGCTTCATTTTGAGAGATGCATGTTTATATTTAGTATGGATAGTTTTGGGAGATGCACACACTTCACTGCAGATATTACGGCTGATTGGAGAAAAGCACCAAAGCGACTGAGCAAGACTGTATGATATACATATATATCCGAGCACACACTCACGTCCCGAGCAGACCGCGGCTGAAGCCCCGCTCCTCTGCGCCGGACTCAGCCTCGCTCTCGCTCTCGGTGCCGGTGCCGGTGCCGGTGCCGGTCCGCAGCAGCCGCTGTCCGCTGCTCTGCTTGCTCTTCCTGCGGCTGTCGCTGAGGCCGAGGAGCGCGTTCAGCTGCTTCCGCTTCTTCATCTTCTTCTGCGGACTCATCGCGGCGGACCCGCTTCAGCTGCAGCGTCCGGGGCTCATCTGAGGGCGGGTTCTCTGCGGCTCTGGAGCACGTCTTCAGGAGAAGCCGCCGTGTTTAATCCAGCTTTAGCTTTAGCATTAGCTTCAGCTGCGGTCCATCATATTAAACCCCGTTCGCTAGTTTCACTGAACTCTTCCTGTCGCGTCTGAAGCTGATGTCATGACACAAATATAAAGCGAAAACATATTTAACGTTACATTACACATATATTATCGCTGAAGAATCAAATCTGTCTGGTTCAGCACGAACATTTGATCCTCCTTCCGGTCCTGACAGGAAGCGCTCCTGATTGGAGGAACACAGTGTGACGCGTCGTTGCGCGGGTGACGTCATCAGGCAGTGACGCGCTCGTGCTCCAGGCGGCGCTCACTAAACATGTGTCACGTGCTGTTCCCATCATTACATTCACGAGTGAATATTGCTGTATTATAGGGATGGGCGATACCACTTATTTTGTTTTCGATACGATACCGATATTTTTCAAGGCAGTATCGTCGATATCGATACCGATACGATACTTCTGAACTAAACTTTTAAATGATGAAATGTATTAAATTATTAAATTACTAAGAGTAAAATGGGTAATGATAACCACTTTGTTTAAAACACATTTTAACATTCAATATGCCTTAATTGTAATTTATTAGGTTATATTTTTGTTTGCACATGGTTCAAATCTACAAATACTACAGTTGAACTACGGTCACTTTAGTAAAACCATGGTTCATTATCATTAGGGACTGCCAGTGACCGGCTGTTGCATCCATAAAATGCAACCTTTTTGTTCTGACAGTGTATGATTTCTATTAACATTACTGAATAGAACATGACCTATATTATCTTTCAACGTTCAATTTAAATAAATGTACAAACTATGTAGGCTACGATTTCAATTTGTTTATTGTGAAATAACTCAAACATATGTTTTCTTCTGTCCTCTGATGAGCATTGTTCAGGGCTGGTGTGCCCAAAAGCTTTAATGCTTTCTTATGATACTTTTGGGAAACGCAGCCCTGTTTGAATGCACTTTTAGAAGTGAGTGAACGCTCTCTGTGATGGATTGGTTCTGTCTTGCAACATTTGCGTGTGTTCAGATGAGCAGGAAAATAATTCTATCCTACACAGTTACTTGCGAACAAAGGTTATTTGTTCAATTCAATGCATTTGTACGCATTATTATTATTATTTTAAATAAACGAAATCACTGGTAAATAAAACACACCTTAGTATCGATATTTTTAGGTTGAGTATCGATACTTTCGATACTCGCGTCAGTATCGATATATCGATACTTAGGATCGATATGCCCATCCCTACTGTATTACTCATCTAACAGAGTTTCAGATCGGTCTAGTTCTGGCAGAAACAGAACTCTGCGCTTGACTGTAGAGTTCTTTCACACGTGTTGTCACCGAGGCCGGTTTGAGCAAACATCCCAGTATGATTTATCAGTATAACAAAAGATTTAAAAAAACATTTTAAATAAAGATAATTGTTTTACCAAGCTCAAGATTGAGGATGATTCCCACTAAACTATTTTCTGCAAGTTTTTTTAACAATAATTCACATGTCTACAGTGCAACGTCAAACACAGGGAACGCATGGGCGGCAGAGCCACTGTATGCACTTCTGAAGACTTGGCTCTTATTCAGCGACTCTGTCTGCACTTTTCTGAGCGCCGTCAGTCAAGTGCACTCCACCAGACGAATGCCTGAATACATCAGACTCTGTTTAGCTAGAGCCTTCGCAGAAACACTACACTACCTGCGTTACTTAGGCCCGTTCCACACATACTCCGCGTGCAGGATTGTCTCCAGCTCATGTGCACAGCACGGGTTACAGTCGAGCAGTGCACTCCAGCAATCCGTGGTAAACATGGATGGACACAAAACTGTAGTAATTACACCATAAATGCATCTGAGTAAAGTCTACTGTGTTTCACAGTCAACACGTGGCTTTTTGGCTAGGTTTAAAACAAGGAATAGTGCACTTTTAGATAAACAAGGCAACATAATAGATGCACTTGTGGATCTGTTCACAAGTTCTTTAAGACCTGCGGGACTGCTTGTAGCTAATATTGTTTCTGTCAGTGTGGAGGGCTCCGTCAAGGAGAATACCGAGAGAAACAGTCCTCTGCTCGATCCCTATGGCCAGCAGTGAACGTGTCAGGCTAGGACCACAAAGCTGTTGTATCATGCGTTCGTCCTCCACTGCTGATCAGCAGCCCCGCTGGACAGACTACAGCTCTCACACACATGATGGCCTGATGTATCGAAGCTAAAAACCTCATCGGATTCGTCTGAAGCTCTAAACGCATCACTTGTTGAAGCTGTTGAAAAGCTAACCTCCAAAAGTGACTGCTTCGGAGACCAAATGAGGCTACGTCACCAGACTAGTGGAGCTGAATGCCACTGAGATTAAAGAGCTGAAAGAAAAGTCACGGAGCTGGAGCGTTACAAGAGACGCTGGAACCTTAAAATACATGGTGTAAAAGAAGAAGTCGATCCGGTCCAGATTAGCACCACAGAGGAACGCTTTGATGGAATCGGTAGAGTTACAACCCTGGCTCTAGGGAAGCAACATCAAGGACACAAAACAAGTCTACCAAATAAAATAAGGTTTATTAAATAACAAAAAGGGGAAAACAGAAGGGACTGTGACGAAAACAAGCCCAGCTACTGCCAGCTGGCTGCAGGATCAGAGAGAGTGAGAGCATGTGTCCAGGGGCCTCGTTTATAAAATGTGTACGCACAGATTTGATCTTGGAGTGTGTGTACGCTAAAATCCCTGGCAACGTTCATATTTATGAGAATGGTCTTTGACAGAGGTGGGGGCAAGTCACACATGTTCAAGTCTCAAGCAAGTCTCAAGTCTCAGTACAAACAAATCAAGCAAGTCAAGTCGAGTCCTGCTAAGGATCAAGTCAAGTCAAGTCACAGTATCAGACAGGAACAAATATTTTTTTGCCACACGACCTTATTAATTTTTCCTCAGAAATTAACTTAATTATACATTTTAAATAATAATGTTTTAAATATAACATTTTGAATATAGGCAAATTACTACTTTGTATACCGCTAAAATGTCGCAATGATTTATAATAATAATTAGAGTTGTTATAAAGTCAAGTCCTGCCGAATCATGAAGGTCAAATCAAGTCAAGTCTCAAGTCAAGTCATTTTCTTTATTTAGTCAAGCAAGTCACAAGTCCTTAAATTTGTGACTCGAGTCCCCCACCTCTGCTCTTTGACGAGGAAAAGTACTTACCTTCACATCAGGCTCTGAGCAGACGTACGCACTTCTCCTTGTGGCCAAGTCTGAGCACGGCAGCTGTTTGAACATCTGAGCTGTAATAATAATAACAGCACTGAATTCATCAGAAACAACAAAGATGCAGTGTAAGAGACTAATGCACTGTATATTTTTATTAACGGGATTATGACCTTTTTAGTAGCCTAATGTTGAGGGTTCTTTACTCACTTTCTGTAGTTTATTCAATGTTTTTTTATTTTACAAGAGAACTTGCGAAGTCTTGATTTACTACTAATGCATAAAACAGAAAACGCATCTCCAACTGTTTTATCTGTGTAGCCTATAAGATGTCGTGCAATAACGGTTTTAATATATTCCATAACATTGTTAACTGTTTTTATAACATCTGCTGCTTTGCTTCTGTGAAAACGAATAGAGACATCAGCCTTAAACTTTTTCCTTGTCATTTACATCAGTTATATTTGTATAAAATACACTATATATTTTTGTGTCAGTACATTAAAAGCACATTTGAGCTGCTTTAGTAAACCGTGTAAATATAAAGAAATGCCAAATCACACGCAGGTTTTTTTCAGACCGGACACCATAAATGTGTAATTTATTTTATGATATGAACTTTCCAATTTCTTTTTCAATAATATTTTTTTTAAAGTTTTGCAAGAATTTCGTGATACTAAACTTTTTATTAGTTGTCATAGCAAGTGATTTTAAAAGATGGCTCACTTTTTATAAGATGACAATTTTACTTGAATTCGTAGTTTCTTACTTGAAACCTAATTGTTTTATAATTGCTATTGTTTCTAGAAGTAGTAATTTTGATAGTCAATAGAATAAATAACCACACACACTGTTTGTCCACAGAATAATTACACATTATTAAATAAAAAGCGTCCCGCATGAACCTCTACCTCCGCTGTTACGGAGCTGACGAGACGAGAGATGTGCAGATCCATATGCAAGCTTTTTATTAAAAGACGTGGTCACAAACACAGGCAGGGTCGAAACACCAGCGAACAGGTACGGTACGGGAAAAACACAAGAGCAGTCCAGTAAACAGGCGTGGGTCGATCGACGGTGAACAACATCCAACAGGACCAGGCAAAGAGAGATAATCCAGGTACACAGCAATAATCCAGGCAGAGGCAAACAGAGTCCAAACGGCAAGATGAATGGGGTAATCTGAAATACACAGGCAAGAGTCAAAACATGGGGAAAAACGGGCAAGTCAAGTGAATAAACTGGGAAAGATAGCACAGGCTCCGTAAAGTAGCTATCAACTAAACAGTGATAAACGCTAAACAATACTCGGCAGTGAATGGTGGTGTGAGACTGATTTATATAGAGTATGTAATAGCTTTCAGGTGAGTGTGTGATTGGTTACAGCTGTGTGCAATCAGTGCAATGGATGATGGGAAATGTAGTCCAGGGTGACATGTACCAGTCTGTGTAGTGTGAGAGTCAATGCAATGGAAGAGCGATCTCTGGTGGTGAGCGGATGGAAGTCCATTGACAGGATTCGTGACATCCGCCGGCAGGACCTCAATTTCACACTCAGTTAAGTTTTTTTTCGTTGTGCTCGTCATTCTCAAGCATAGAAAGTCTGATATTGGCGTGTGCTATTTTATATGGTAATGAGGTGTTTACAATGCGGAGGTCTGACAGCAGTCAGCTGCGCACAATTTCAAGATCATTTGTGATTTATAAACATCACATCTGGAAAAGAGGCATACGCACGTTTGTTTTCTCTGAATCGCACTTATGCCCTTTTGAGAAATGATCTTAGAACAAATTTAGGACGGTTTATACGCAACATTTTATAAATGAGGCCCCTGGAGTTTAAAATGGCTCCTTTCAGGTGACATCAATTAACCTGTTGATTGCAGGTGAGCTACTGAGTAACTGCAACAAAACACAAGTTAGAACACTCCCACATAACAGTAGTTGATACCGCTCACTGCATTGGAAGCAAAGAAGAGGGGAGAGACCATCAGATTATCATCCAGTTCACCATGAGATTCCACTGGGACTCCATCTAGAAACT